AGACGTGTGTGTGTGTGTGTGTGTGTGTGTGTGTGTGTGTCGGGGGGAAACACACTGATATGCCCTCGAATTTTATGACAAAAACATTAAAGGGAAAATAAGAACATAAGAACGGCTAGACTGGGTCAGACCAAAGGTCCATGTAGCCCAGTGTCCTGTCCTCTGACAGTGGCCAATGCCAGGTGCCCCAGAGGGAATGAACAGAACAGGGAATCATCCAGTGATCCATCCCCTGTCGCTCATTCCCAGCTTCTGGCAAACAGAGCCTAGGGACACCATCCCTGCCCATCCTGGCTAATAGCCATTGATGGACCTGTCCTCCATGAACTTATCTAGTTCTTTTTTGAACCCCGTTATAGTCTTGGCCTTCACACCATCCTCTGGCAAGGAGATCTACAGTCTGACTGTGCGTTGTGTGAAGAAGTCCTTCCTTTGGTTTGTTTTAAACCTGCTGCCTAGTAATTTCATTGGGTGACCCCTGGTTCTTGTGTTACGTGAAGGAGTAAATAACACTGCCTTATTCACTTTCTCCACACCAGTTGTGACTTTAGAGACTTCTATCACATCCCCCGCGTAATGCTCAGCATCGAGCCGCCACCTTTCTTCGTTCAAGCCACAATTGTTTTTTCACGACTTTTCGATTGGCCAAAAATTTAGAAAAATCTTGTTTTTTTTCAGGTGACCCAAAATAACTAGAGACCCCCATTTTTTTGGCCTTACCAGCTGTGAAGCTGTGATTTGCCCAGTTCTAGTCATCAGGCCTTAATGAGGTGCAGTAGGGCAGTTGAGTCTGAAGAAACATCCTCCCTCCCCACCCCCGGGGTCTCCTTGGAGCCTCTTCCACCTCCAGTGCCGGTGGTGAGGGTGCGTGTGCAGGAGGCCCATGCACTGGGGATGGGGCCCTGTGTGTTCTAGCTTGGCAGCAAATCTCCTGGGTTCAATTTGGTTTTGCGTCTGGTCTCTTGGGGTTGGTGACCCCCATCGCTTCGGGACTCTTCCCTGGCCGGTGTGCTCAGAACATCTCGCCTTGTCTTAAACCTGATTCTTCCCCTTCATAGGGGATCAGGGTTGGAAGGGACCCTTAGGAGGTCATCTAGTCCAACCCCCTGCTCAAAGCAGGACTAATCTCCAGACAGTTTTTTGCCCTAGATGGCCCCCTCAAGGATTGAACTCACAATCCTGGGTTTAGCAGGCCAATGCTCAAACCACTGAGCTATCCCTCCCCCCACAGAGGGATAGCCACATTGAAACCAGCTGAGCCCTGAGATCTGGTTAGGAACCAGGGAATGGCTGTCCCCAGGCAATGGCGCTCGTTTGGCACTGCGTTAAGCACTACAGCGGGGCCGGGAAGCATGTTCTGATAGCTGGGTCGAGTTTCCAGCTTGTAGCGCGTCTGTGCAGCATTTCAACTCAGCCCTCGCCAGTAAGCGCTGTGGGGAGAGAGGGCTCCTAGTTGTTGCCTCTCTACCAGTGCACGTTGTTGCTGGGGTCTTGGCTGCTCCTGCCTCGCTAGGGGGGCCCGTGCAGTTGCATGCCTGGCTGCTCTCGACCTCCTGCTGGGCGGAAAGTCCCAGCTCTCTCGCATTGATGTGCCAAGATGGGAACGTGCTGCGGGGGCCGACTGAGAGAGAGTTGCCACCCTTCCAGGATTGCCCTGGAGTCTCCAGGCATTAGAGCTTAATCTTTAATGAAAGGTTATGTCATGTGATGAAACCTCCAGGAACCTGGTCAACCAAAACTGGCAGCCCACAATGCAACGTGTTTCCCTGCCGGGGGCCCCCGTGCACAGCGGCACGTCTGGGGCAGTGACCCGGTGGAATACACAGGTTGGCTGATTCTGAGGGAAGTTGTGTGTGTTCTTGTTCGCGCCAGGATCAGGGGCCTGTCTGGGCATGTTCTTGCAGGGAATGTGACCGGGGCTTGCTGAGACTTGCCCCAGAGGAAATAAAAGGCCTGGTGGCTAGTGGTTGGGATAGCAGCCGGTCGATGTCCTTGGCACTCACCTTGGGGGTGGGGTACTGACCTGCGCCCAACACAGCCGGGTGGGCCGCGGGGGTTAAAGCACAGAAAAGCCCCTTCCAGTGACACTGAGCGTCTGATTTCAAAGCAGCAGCTACAATGGAAGCTCTGAATCCCGTCCTTTGTGCGACTCCGGCTGCAGCGAAGGCCCTGAGGGGGATGTTGGGCCAGAGGGACCCTCCCACTCCCAACTCCCGCCCGTCGGGCTGCTTGAATGGAGGTTTTGTTGCTGGATTTCTCCAAGTGCAGTAACAAATCTCTGTGAAAAGCACTTAGGTCAGAGTCCCTTGGTGGGCTCCGCCCCCCAGGGGAGGGAGGGTGCTGGGGGGATGCTCTGGCCCCCGGGGGGTGGGAGGGAGGGTGGTGGGCGGTGGTTGCGTGTTTGTAAACAGCACCTGTAGTGCTGTATGACAGCTGAACTGCACCCAGCTAATAACACGCTGTGCAGAGGACTTTGCACGAGTAGATCGCAGAATACACCCCAGCTGAGGGGCGAGCACGGGAGCTGGAGGTTGGGAGTTGTTTGAAGGAGGGGACCGGGGTGGTATTAGGCTGTTCCCAAGTGAGGGGCAGCGGGAGAAGGGAGAAAGTTTGGAGTGGGGAAGGGGACTTGGCTCACCGCCCCAAGAATGACCCTGTCTGCGGCCATTGGTATATACTTGGGGCAGCTAGCCCCTTGTGCCGCTGAGGTTACGTGTCTATATTTAGCACACTAGCTGGATCGGAGCTAGCGCCGGTATGTCTCCTTGAGCTAGAACTGACCCCTTCCAGCTCCAGGGTAGATGTACCCTTAGTTAGCAGGCGCAGGAGGAGTTCAAGGCCGAGATGCGGGCAGGCTGGAGAGGTTCGAAGGTGCGGAGGAGAAGCGCAGACTCTGTGGGGGGTTGCCAGGGATCCCACGAGAAGCAATGATCAGCGCTGCAGGGGGGCAGTGATCTCAGCAGCATGGGGCGGGCTGGAGGGGGGTTGACGGCAGAGGGTGATGAAGGAGAGGAGAGAGCTGCATGGTGTGAAAGTGGAATACCAACCACTACAAGGCAGTGGCACCAATTCAGATATTTTTTGAGGGCAGTACAGGAACCGACTCTCAGGGGCCCGGTCGCAGCACCATGTAGCCTGGCTGCCCCTCCATCTGTACGGAGGGGTGACCAGGTCAAATGTCTGTGTGTTGTGACCACGCAGCTGCGGCTATGCTCTGGCAGCAGCCACACTGGGTTAGTCTGGGATCGTTGCGGAAAGGCGTTCCTACAAGGCTCTGGGGAGAGAGAAAGCAGCAGATGGCTCCCCTGGCTAGATGGCCGGAGAGAGGTTTGATCCCAGGCGCTGTAGATCAACGCGCGAGGAGCTCTTTGTGAACTCTGAGCATCACACGCTGTGAGCTGGGAATGGGGCGGTGATTGATGAGCCTAGCTCGGTCCGAATGACGGCAGATTCTTTCCTTCGAGGCTAAGCATGGGAGCGGCGGTTATCTCTGGCTTCGCTGGCCTGGGAGCGCTTGGCATAGTTCGCTTCAGTGATGGTGGCTGTGTGTCTGTCCTTATGGAAATAATAATAATAAACCACAGCTCTGGGATAGCGCTTGTCATCGGTAGATCTCAACCCATGAAGTCGGGATCATTATCCCCTCTGTGCAGGGGGGGAAACTGAGGCACCGAAGGGGAAAGTGACTTTCCCAAGATTACCCAGCAGGCCGGTGGCTGAGCCGGGAACAGAATGCAGGTCTCCTAAGTCCCAGTCCTGTGCCTGAGCCGCTTGGCCTCTCCAGTGGCAACCTTCCTCTTTGCTAGCCCAGCCCATCCCTGGAGGAACATGTTGCCTTTCTCAGTCACTATTTCAAGTGCAGTCCTGGTTGGTGGTGATGGGCAGGTGCTACCATCTGGTGCTACTGCCGTGGCCCGTGTTACAGCAGTTGGGGATGGTGATGGGTCTCTGTCCATTTCTGAGTGGGTTAGTGTCCCTGTCGTGAAATCACCATCTGGCTGGCGCTAACTAGCCCCTGCTGTCAGCACAGGGGCCAAGGGCAGAGTAGAGCTGAGTGCCGCAGGGCCGGGGGTGAGGGCAACAGCAGGGGCCAGCACGTCAGTGGGGAATTGTGCAGCATAACCCGGCACCTTTGTATTCCAGACTCCCAAATTATGGGATCTGGTGGCATCTGTGCACTTGTACCCCAGAAACTGACCTACCCTGTGTGTGTGGGGAGAGGCGAAGGAGAAGTGTAAAAGTTAAATAGTGGAATTTTATATGGCCTGTTTCTATGTAGCTG